GTTATTGAGTGTTAAACAACTTTCCTGACCTTTGTCTTCCTACACATGACTCATAGATTAATTTACAACAAATAATCAGATGGAAAGCATTAGTGGTTAGATGATTTTTAATTATTTTTGACTTAGTGTCTTTGAAGTTTTAAACATATTAACAAAAATCAGCGATCTAAATGTCATTCATCAAAGCAGTTATTACTCCTTAAGTAATCCCCTAATTGTTACACATGTACACACACATTTGCAAATAATTTTAGAGTTTTCTCAGGGGAAGAGGTGGTGTTACAGGTGTGGAGTATTTTCTGATTTTGGGGGAGTCTGCTCTTTTGCTAGTTTTAACACTTGATTCGCCCCGTGCTTTACTGGTTTATTGAGAGAATAAATGTCGTTGATTAGAATCAATCCAATTATTATTTTCAACTTTACTAGTTGAATTAGTATTATACTAATTCAAGCTGATTTAAATAAGAAATTCAGAAGATCAAGTGAAAACATGCCAATGGAAAACCCTAAGTTTCGGTGGATCCCTGATTAAGAAACTGAAGACCAAAGTGTAAAAAAAATCAACATATATATATGTTGATTATATATATTATAATCATATATATATTATATGATATATATGATATATATTATATATAATATGTATATAATATATATGATATACATATGATATATATTATATATAATATATTATATGTATATCATATATATTATATACATATTATATATAATATATATATAATTTATGTATATATTATATATATAATTTTTTAACATTCATATTTTAGGCAGCTATGATTATATGATTTTTAGATTGAGTAACATTAGAAATTATTGATTATTTGTTACTAACAGATTCGAATTCTATTTCCTAAGGGCATTTCTTTCACATATATGTTGGATATATATTTGGATCCAATATATATTGGATATATATTTAGGTATAGGTTTTTTTTTTTTAATTTTTTTTTAACGTTTATTTATTTTTGGGACACAGAGAGACAGAGCATGAATGGGGGAGGGGCAGAGAGAGAGGGAGACACAGAATCGGAAACAGGCTCCAGGCTCTGAGCCATCAGCCCAGAGCCTGACGCGGGGCTCGAACTCACGGACTGCAAGATCGTGACCTGAGCTGAAGTCGGAAGCTTAACCGACTGCGCCACCCAGGCGCCCCTATTTAGGTATAGTTTTATAATGGGGTTTGGAGAGCATTAGAGTAGAAATGTCAGAAAAATATACTAGCCAATGGCATACCTTTTGGCCTTGTTAGTTTTTGCTAAAATTATTAGTAAAATATTTTACAAAATGTGCTAAAAATAAATCATGCCTGTGCATTATGAAAATCATCTTCTTGTCCTGAATTGAATTGACTATAAAGACATAAACTGTAAGTATTTAGGCTGTGTTGGAAAAAATCTGATCTGTGCTGTCTCTTATAAATGGTTTTCATGTGTGTTAAAAATGATTCTGTGGAGTATGTTTGTGCATTTCAACAAAATAGTGTTTTTATTTTTTTTTTAATTTTTTTAATGTTCATTTATCTTTGAGAGAGAGATAGAGTGTAAGTTGCGGAGGGGCCGAGAGAGAGGAGACACAGAATCCAAAGCAGGCTCCAGAATCTGAGCTGTCAGCACAGAGCCCAATGAGGGCTTGAACTCATGAGCCAATTGTAAGATAATGACCTGAGAGACACTTAACCGACTGAGCCACCCAGGTGCACCAAAATAATATATATATATTTTAATGTTTATTTTTGAGAGCAAGAGAGAGAGCATGAACAGGGGAGGAGCAGAGACAGAGGGAGGCACCGAACTCTAAGCAGGCTCCAGGCTCTGAGCTGTCAGCACAGAGCCCGACATGGGGCTCGAACATCACAAACCATGACATCATGACCTGAGCCAAAGTCTGATGCTTAACTGACTAAGCTACCCAGGTGCCCCCAAAATAGTATTTGTAAAGAACATATCCCATTGCCTGCAACACAGTGATTGCTTAAGGAATGTGGCAATTCTTTCTCTCTGTCTTTATGTCTCTGTCTCTCTCTTTCAGTTCTTCTTTCTCCTTCTCTTGCTGGCTCTGTCTGATTTTCTCATTCTTTGGTCTCTTGAGCGTGCATATGCCTCGGATTCTCTCTCTGACTTTGTTTCCCTTTCTTTTTCGAACTGAATTAGAAGATCTGGTTTCTAGTCTTGGTTTCATAAGCTTGTGATATTTTAGGTTGCAGCTCAAAATAAATTGGCTTTTGAAACTCTTGGGGACATTCAATCTCAGTAAAATTCCAAGAAGAGAAGGACATATTGCAAATTCTAATTCATTTGTAGGCCTCCCACTTCCTTATTCCCTGTTTGCCCACTCTTAAAAACCAGTTACATTATCTAATTCAGCTTTTACCTAATTCAATGAAAAAGATTACCAGAAGTTATTGTATTCAAAGCAGTGATTTAATTTCTCTGAGGAATGATGGTTAATAATTTATCCTCTAAAAAGGAACAATATAGAAAGTCAATATAACAGTGCATATTTATGAATTTTTACATAAATAGCTTAAAAAAGTGTGTAAAACAGGCTGCATAAAATACATAATAAATCAACCATTTAAACATCTCAGAGACTGACAAATCAAGTAAGAAATAACAATAAAAGATATCTGAGACAAGAACAACAGAATGAATAGAACCTTGAATTATTAATTGTAAAAGCACCTATACTAAATAAACTAGGACATTTATAAAACAGACTATGGATAGGCTAGTAAAAAGCCTGCGTGATCCATGGTATCAATATTATACACAAAAAATTCTTCAGTTATGATGCAATGCAATTAAGATTTAATAACACAAAGCTATATTAAAAATTCAGTATGCTTAGAAATCAAATGATATATTCTTTTTTTTTTTAATTTTTTTTTTCAACGTTTATTTATTTTTGGGACAGAGAGAGACAGAGCATGAACGGGGGAGGGGCAGAGAGAGAGGAAGACACAGAATCGGAGACAGGCTCCAGGCTCTGAGCCATCAGCCCAGAGCCTGACGCGGGGCTCGAACTCACGGACCGCGAGATCGTGACCTGGCTGAAGTGGGACGCTTAACCGACTGCGCCACCCAGGCGCCCCTCAAATGATATATTCTTAAATAATTTGCATTAAATGAAAATTAGAACACTAGAGAAGATTACAAAACTAAAAGCTATTTCATAGAAAAAATTGATATAATTTTGAAAATTAGATGAAAAATTTCTACAAAACTACAAACTGCTGAACTTAAAACAGGAGAAAATAAAACATGAAGACAGGTAAACAATAAAGATAGTATTCAAAACTTCGTGACCATAAGTATCCAAGGTCTGTTTTTATAGGAATTCTGTTAATCTGTCCACACAAACTTGAGGAAAAGAGAAAAAGGAACCTTCCAAAGTTATTTAAGGAGACTATTGTAATCTTAATCCCAGTAGATAAAGAGGAAGAGAAAAGTATTGGCTCTTCTTATGATTATATGTGAAAAATTTGAAACAAGGCAAGAGCTAGATAAAATAAAGATGTATTTTATAATACATAATGATCAAGTAATAATTAAATAAGTTACAACATGATTTAACATCAGAAATTCTATCATTATAATTCACATAACTCCATTTATGTGTTAATGATTTCTAGGAAGAAAACTCTTTGATATCTTTAGACGCAGAAAATTCTTCAGTAATGTTTTGGTAAAAACCCTTCATAAATTAGGGATACTTGGGGACTGATAATTATTAAATGTATTTGTTTTTATATTATATAAGGATATATGTGTGTGTGTGTATAATTGTACATATGTGCAGGTATATTCCTATAAAAACATATTCCTAATAAATATATCTAAAAACATATAAAATACATTTTTTTCCCATTAAGTTCAATGATTGCTAAAAATCTACCACAAACATTATACCTACTGAAAACATTTAGATGCTCTTTTTAAAATATAGGTCAAGATTAGGACATTCGCTAGCACAACTACTGTATAATATAGTATTTGATATCTTGATCAATGCTCTGAGAATAAGTGTTAGGAATTGACAGAGAAAAGATAAAATTGGGATTTGGGGCACATTAAGTGGTTATGTACCCAAAAACAACAACAATGACCGTAAATAACGATCAGCAAAGTATTTGGACTAATAAGGGTTAGTTTTCAACACGGTTGTCGGTAAAGTACAAACATAATAAAATCAATAGCATCCCTCTCCAAACCAGTTATAACCAACTATAAATAATACACTTTTCAGAAAATTCACAAAAACTAATGTGTATTTAGGTCTTAACTAAAGCTACATGAGAAATCTATGGAAAAATTTTGAAGTTAATAACATAGAAAATTATCTGGGTAAGTGGAAAGATGTGCCTGTCCTTTAATCAAGAATAATATATATTTTTAGAATACTTAAATTAATTTTATTATTAATTACTTTGACCAATATCATGCAAACCCCCAGTTGGATACTTCTGTGAACTGTGATAAATTTAAATATAAATGGAAGGATAAAGGTTAACAGGTAGTCAAATATAATCTTCAACCTTGCCACTTAAAGTGTGGTTCTTGGACAGGCCTCATCATCATTATCATTACCATCTAAGAGTTTATGGAAAATATAGACTTTGGGGACTCACCTCAAACCCAGTAGGTCAGAATATGTATTGTATCAAGGTCCCCAAGTGATTTGTATGCATGTGTTTCTGTGTGTGTGTGTTTCTGTGTGTGTGTGTGTGTGTGTGTGTGTGTGTGTTTTACTACAGTAGAGATTACTACAAATCAGTAAGAAAAATATAAATATCTCAACATAGGATTGCAAAAATTTGGACCAGGAACTTACAGAAGAAGCCTAAAAAAATCACTAGTCTTATAAGGAGAGGCTCATGTTCATTGGTAAATACAAAAATGAAAAATTTTTTGCACACATCTACCTTTATTGTGAGCAGCTGGTGAGGGCGCTCCCAGCAGTAGTAAAACAATCAGTTTACCAAAGCAGGGGTTCCATGAAGCGACCTGATTGGAACCTTTGAGAGTTCAGATGTACATGCTGACCCAGAGCAGCAGGAAGGGGACTCCAAATCCCATGAGGAGCGAGGCCACCAAAGAGATGAGGGACTCTTTGTAGATATCCAGAGTGCACTTGGGAGAGGTAACCTTGCAAATGAAGAACCAGAGGGTAAAGAATATGCTAGCAGCCAATAGCACTGTGGTCAGGTGGGGGAAGAGAGCCAGTTTCACTGGGCTGGTATATCTACTCATGGCCTCGAGCTCCATTTTGCCAGGAGCAAGGTAATCCATTGCTCCACCTCTGGAATAGAAAAAATGAAAATTACGTAAAGAGATATCATTCTAGATACATTATGGGCATGGATCATGCCACATGTTTGGAGAACATAAACAACAGGAATTTTCACCTTCTGTGGTGGGAATGTGATGGCTGCAGGAGTCCTGGAAGGCACTGAAGCAGTACTTAGTAAAATTAATGCTCTCTGAGCCAGCAATCCCAGTCCTGGACATGAACCTTAAAGTTTACAAAGGAATGCACACAGATTGATTCGTGCAATGTTGCTTGTGGTACCAGCAAGCTACAGACTTTCTGGGCATCCATAATTTCAGTACTAAATAAACACACATGTTGAAAACAACATGCTTTGTAGGAAAGTAAAAGTAGCTCTAGAACACAGTGTACTGTTTCTGTAAGTTAAGAAGGTAAGAACACGTGTCTATTAGCCATCTGACTACCTTCTTTCGAAAAATGTCTATTCATGTCTTCAGCCCATTTCTTAACTGGATTATTTGCTTTTTGGGGGGGGGGGGTGGTGTGGTTGTTTAGTTCTTTATAAAATTTTGATACTAATCCCTTATCCGGTATGTAATTTGCAAATACCTCTTCCATTCCATAGGCTGCCTTTTAGTTTTGTTGATTGTTTCCTTTGCT